ATGTATACCTAATGTAAATATATATATATATATCTATATTTATATGTATGTATATATATATATTTGTATGTATGTATATATATATATATACTGTGACCCGTCCACAGACACACCTCAGCGTTCAGTAATCCATTCTTCGTAGTAAAGAAGATGTATGTGTGCGTGTCCATACTAGCCAGATACTCGTTGACATAGGCTTTTACACTGGCAAACGATTCTTTGGTTTCCTGTTTCTTGGTTGTGCCGGCCGATACGTACTCGGATATACTTGTACCAGCTTTGATATCAGCCCAGACTCTGCAGATAAAGGATGCGCATGGTCAGTGTATGTATGCCTGTACGCATGATGTGGTAGACAAATCGACCCATGAATGCAGTTACAGGTGTTTCAATTCCGTAAATAGATAGGTTTATCTATAGGTTTATACATAGAAAGGTTTATATATAGGTTTATACATAGATAGGTTTATACATAGTTAGTTTTATATATACATATGTATACTTCCAGATGTATCGCATAATACGATTCGAGCAGTCCAACCTCATCCTATGTGTAATTTTTATAGAATAGATGTGTACGTAGCACCATGGTTGTTGCAGCTCACATTTATATTTAGACTTCTCCTTCGCAATGACGATGCACACCATATAGACATGCACATATAGAGATACATATACACATACAGATATACATAGATAACTCTATATATATTCATACACCCTACCTGGCATATGCCACAGGCGAGACAATCTCCTGTGGGTCGCAATCCACGTGCAAGTGTAACATAAGCTTACAGAAGCTTGCACGCAACGCATGAGGTAGTTCCTGGTCAGCCATACATGTGAGTATGCACTCAATGCTCAGAGAGTCTTTGAGTCCGTTGATAGCTATGTACTGGCGGTTAAGGCACATCATGGAGAACAGATCCAGCTGGGCCGAGTAGAAGTCCAGCCAGGCCCTGTGTAGGGGTGAAGGGTAGAGCTGTGTGTTAATCCACATACATACACATATACACAC